GATGTAGTTTTTAGTGGCATTAGATGTCAACAACAACAAACCACTGGCAAGCTTGTCGACAGAACCATCTTTTGGGGCTGCTTACAAGCATGCTAATAACGGGTTTGAGTCTCCCGTATACGCTAATTTATCACCGCAATAAATGAACGAGATATAGAGAAACTGACTATCGCAGCGGCAGAGTGGTATTATCGATCTGCTGCATGAGAAAAGTAACAGTTGTCACCCCACCGTAATCGGTTGTCACCCCAACGCTCGCATAGCTCAAAGTACATTAATTTCTTGAATTCGCTACAAAATTTTAGTGAATTGTTTCGCGGAATATTTCAGTTTCAACATCTCAGGACGACGATGAAGACACGAAAATATTGGAGGAAGAGGTTGAAGAGGGGTATTGGGCTACCAATACGAGTTTCGTTCCGTTGAGAACGACTACCGATATGGGCTCCAGTTCATCGAGTACGTCTACCGATATGGGCTCCAGTTCGTTGAGTACAACTACCGACAGAGGCTCCAGTTCATCGAGTACGTCTACCGATATGGGCTTCAGTTCGTTGAGTACGACTACCGACGCGGGCTCTATTTCGTTGAGTACGACTACTGATATTGGCTCTGTTTCGTCGGGCGCGACTACCACTGCAATCTCTACTCTCTCGGGCACGAAATCCCAGCGAAAAACGACGTCACCCTCAACAAAAATAGCGCCTTTTTGGTCAACAGCAACATCCTCTCGGCCACAAACGACAACTTCACCAAAACAAACCGAAGTGAAACAGAAGTGTTATAATCCGATAACAGGCAAGAATTACAGGTATGATTAGATTAATAAGTAGGTACAAAAAGTTGGCTTCGCAAGAGTGTAATAATATATTTGAGTGCAATAATAAAGTTGTTCCGCAAGGATGCAATAAATGGAACTCGAACACAGAAGTGATTAGCACAGTTAGCACGCTTGACTTGTGTGCATTTTTTTGAACAAACCTCTTTTCAAAAACAGTTGTTGACCAGCAGGGAATCGGTCGACTCTTCTTTGCATCTGGATGGTCTCTTCTACACGCTGCATCAACGGCCCTTGTGCTTCAGGTTCAGCTTAGTATCACATCTACCGTATATCCGCTTTTCAAGACAGAATACTCTTTCTTTTTTGCTGCCTTTCGTAGGCTTTTTCTTTGTGGCAGCCCCTTTGCCTTTTATGGGTTTTCAGATGCAGTTTTCTAGGAATACTGCTAAAATGGAGCAGTTGGGCTACTGAGGTGCATATTGAATAATTAGCGGTTAAGTGACTAATTAGTGATTATTTCATTCTTTTGTTTAAAAATCTAGTTTTTCAAGTAGTTTTTAAGCGTGGACACCGGATTTTGCATCTACGGCGTACTGTTTTATCCAAAGAAACTTGGCGATGAACTGTACTGCAACGATGAAGACTACCTCAGCACGTCTGGTTCCATCAGTTATTCGAGTCTGACAAAGGCTGCCAAAGCGGTTCATAACTATTTGATGGGGAATGAAGAGACAAATGACACATATCACATAACATGGATTAAAGTCAGCTGATTTTTTAAACGCTGCTTGGAAAGCCTATTGTTATCGTTTAGTTGGGAACTCGTTTGTGGGGTTGTTTTTCATTAGAGCATTTAATAAGCAGCTCCCTGTTACAATCCACTGTCAAATCAAATGTGATTGAACCTAGGATTTGCTGGCTGCTGATGTGTTCAACTAAATTATACTGACTTTCATAACCCCATTTCTCTTGCTTTTTATACTAATTCTCATAACCAGATTTTATTCAAAAACCGTCTTTAACCATCTGTTGTCTGTCATTCTTGCACAAGACCAGACCAGCTTTTCAGTTTAGCGCATGCACTGCCATTATGGTATAGCGATGGGGCTCTCTTTATTGCAAAAAAAAGCTATGAACTGGGAGAGGAAAGAAACACTCATCTTCAAATCCGGACAGGACTTGCTGCTCACTGCACCACCGGCTCTTATAACTCAGGAATAGTATTGCACTTCGTCCTCTTTCCAGCAAACGTAATATTCTTCGTCTCACTTCTGCACAAGAGTTATTACAGTCTCTAGTTGCCAGTGAATGATTTCAGATTTGCATAGCAGTAATTTTATTTTGGCAAGGCAACCCATGGCGCGGGGAGATAATGATCAGAGTGCACCACTAGTCGAGAGAACTGCTAAACCTTAATTACCTCAGGGAACAGAACAAATGTAAAGAGCGTGTGTAGGAGTTCATCAGCGATGAATTATTGTTTAAAATAACTAGAAAAGTTACCAAGGAGCTCCTTTTAGAACCATCTAATGAGGTGAACGTTGTTCTACGTATTCGGGGTAACTACGGCAATCCTGACAGTGGTCTTTTTCTGTCAAAGACACATGTGAATGAATGAAGTTAGCTCTGGATACTTCTCATATTTGCGCAGATTATCGCATTTTAGAATGACAGTGGCAAGTATGTGGATATGTTTGTGTACTGCTGCCAGAAGTGCCCACATTATCAAACAGCGCAAGAATGGCGAATTTTGCTAAAATCGCAATTTCTTGCTCGTCGCTCTTCGGTTATAAGATCATATGCAGGCCCCAAACAGGAACGATCGGACGGTAATGAGATATTTAATGGGACATATCGTCAGCCTGAAATTGGGCATTTGGAAATATGTAACAATCAACAGCTTCGAAAGGTGATTGTTGTTAAGAATTTCACGCTAGTGAAGTAACTGGAGGCTTGCAACAACGTCAGGTAATTACGGAAGATGATTACCCACCACAGGCTTTGGCAGTTTGATTTGGTGTAGTTCGCTGCTGGTTCTTCAACAGTACCGTTAGCAGCCTTTCCATTATCTTTCAGTGGTCAGCCTGTTAGCGATCCTAACGGTGTTTAAGAAAGGACTAGCAGCGAAACAATTTTCCGAACTGGAGCAGTTGGCAAGGACATATCCGCTTCGAGATATTGTTAGTGTATAAGCACAACTTCGTCAGTTTTTAGGTCACAGTAAGTGTAGCTGACTGATAGGGCTATTCGTTTCAGATTGTTGTTTTTTTCTTTTGTCTCCTCTCTTTAATGTCGTAATTTTCATTGAACTGGCTACTTTTAGGTGCCAGTAATAGGAAAGAGTAACGTGTGCTATGTAACAGCTTCTCATGCATACGCAAGTGTTAACTTATTTCATCGGCTGAAAACATGGAACAAAACAGACTACTGGAAAATGGCATCTTCGAAAGAAGCTCTCAAAATGGGAG